GGCCACGACAACTGACACATAGATATCTGGGAGCATAGAAATTTCGGCGCAGATGTTGTACCTGAATATCTATTTGGTGTGTTTATTTTTGACGCATTACGTTACAACTATCAGTAAACTAAATGTAAAAGACTTTGGCAAACCATTTTAGCATAAAGTTGGTTTCGTCTGACTATCTGTAATTACATTCTAGGTATCTAAAAATGAGTTTTGACTAGGAACAACTATGGTAATTTAAGATATCTGTATTAACATAGTCATACAGTAAATCCAACTGGAGATATCTTAAAAGGAATTTTGACTAGTCACAGTGTAATTCAAGATATCTAAAAATGACGTCAATGAACTCATCATTTGAAGGGTCAAACATCCGTAATTGCAGATATCTCACGTAGTCAAAAACTCAAAATTACATTTTTAGATTTCTGAAATTAGAAAGTGCTCACAAGCCCCCACGTTGCTACTTCGCTGTCCAAAGAGTTGCCTGCAGAATTTTGTGAAGCTGCAATGAATAACAATAAAATATCTGTTTTTTTAATTCATGTTGAGCATGAGCTACAGAGATAAAAATTGTGTTAAAAAAGAATTTGAGCTGGACTGACCTCTGACACTGCACACCACCTAATAGCACAAAGTGGCTAGTACGACTACTTGTAAATCATAGCTCTATGCAGGCTAGATAGCTCATGGCGTGCTGTAACACATATTCATTTTTCGTATTCATATTTTATAAAATAACACTGTGTTGTTGGCTTATTGGATGATTCTTTCTATAGAGCAGAGGTTCTCCAACTGGGGTCCCAGGACCCTCAGGGGTCCGTGAGTCATTTCTTGGGGGGTCCTCAAAAAATTTCAAGAAATTGTTCATTTGTTTTGTATTTCAAAAAATGCATATAATGCACTAGTAAAACAAACATACTAAACCAAACAAAAAGTAATATCCCCGTGACATTTAGTCGTTAAAATGACAATAGATTATTTTTAAAACAGCATGGGGTTTATGAGGGGGTCCCTGGAAAATTTTCACCCTTGTAAGGGGTCCCCAGATCCAAAAAGTGTTAACAGATGAATTAATATTTATAAGAGGAGCCTTATTGTGAAGTGGTACTGAATTATATATTKTAGTATCTGTAAACATCTGAGTGTTAGAGACCAAACAACCACCGAGTCTTCACTTATTGTTTTGAACTGCTTTTAAAAATCACAACTTATTTCTGCTGCAAACTGAATTCTAACTGTATTTTGTGATCTTAGCCGATGCCCTCATATTTATGATTTAATCTACAGCAACACCAAGTTTAAATTGAAGCGAGGCAGATTTAGACTCATTCTTTAAGGTTTCTAACCCTGGACATCTGCAGTCTTGGTGATCTGGAGAGCTCCCAAGCAGCTTTAAAGCTCTAAAATCCACAGAAACTAAACGGAGAAAAGAATGAGATGGGTTTAWTTCCCTTCTGACAATTCTGTGAGTATTGTGAGAGAAAATTTGTCGCACAGACTTTTTTAAAAATAACTTCAAAAGTCCCACGACAGGACAGTGCGCAGTTGAGACTCGCAGAAAGAAATGGAGGGACGCCCTCCCGCAATGCTCTACTCCCTCAGTAATGGACTCAGCCCAGTGAGAGGCTGTCATCACAATCTTTACTCAGCAGGAAAATGTAGTTCATCGTCACCAAACCTACTTTCCAGTGTGAAAAGTGTAAATTCCAGCTGTGTATCAACAACTGCCCTCCCTCCTGCTCTTCTCACTGCGCTTTAAGCCAGGTTTCTGTAGATACTATGTCTATGTTTAAATGACAGATATGGAGTTAGCGGTTATCTGTTAGCATTAGCTTTCGCTTAGTGGTTTAATGTTTGTGAAGCTCATTTCTTCATAAGCAGATTGGCGGATGGGTAAACTAACATTTTGGCTAGCTGTGCCCACCGCTGGTTAAACATGAGCAGTGGTGGTTCATTGGTTAGATTTACACGACTGGAATTTAAACAGCTTTTATTAATTTCACTCATAACTATTTAACTCTGTTTTTGAAGCTGCTTGTCCTGTGACATCCATTGAAAGGTGCTGGAGCACCTATTGCTCCCCTACTTCCTGCAGCCTAGAGTAGCATCATGGTTGCCTTCACCTTGAAGGAGGTTTTACAGCGGGTAAAATAAGTATTGAACACATCACCATTTTTCTCAGTAAATATATTACTAGAGGTACTAATGACA